GCAGTGCTCAGGCAAACAGGTTGCAAAGTTCTGCCCTTGAATGCAACTTCCGAAACTCCGAGGCAGATAAATCCCTCTTCTGTACAGCACTGCAAAGAAACTGAAAACATCATCTCTTTCATCTCTCTGTCCCAAGAGTTCGGATTGATTTTCACTTTTCAGTCAGAAGGAGAGGAGGAGAAAGAATCCATCCTCCTTGCACATTGCTGGTTACCCCAGCAACTTTGGGTAGATTTATCACATGACCCTGAACTGTCCATGGGAGACAGTAATAACTTACCCTTAAAAACACTATTTCTTTTCATGCTTTTTATACCATAATGCACTTCAATGTAGCAAATCTTTCCCCACTTTAAGACTTCTTGACTGATGAATTCACCTTACAATATCTTCTGCAATAAACAGGATCCTAGAAGTATAATTAAAGTGTCAAGTTTATTCTGCTGGACATCCATCTCTCCAATTTCCTTGCCTCTAGAAATCCAGCATGAATACCTTCCTCAGAGGCAAAGAAGATCTTTATCTAAGGTGAGTCAGAGAGGCCACATCTGAGATGTAAAGACTTGAAAAAGAGATATAATTTACTTTCAGAATATTTTTGAACATATCTCAAGCCTTATGACCTGAAAACCTCACAATGGTTTTATTCAGGAGTTATTTCTAAGCTTGTCTACTTAGAAAGTTATTCTTAATTAACACCATGCGAATACCCTTGCCCCAGATAAGAACACTTATTCTGAAGTGACAACACTTACAAAGGGAATTAATCAGGGAGAATAATTCTGCTTTCAACTTGTACCAAACCTTAATCTGACTTTAACTCTTCCTTGTGGAACAATCCTCTCATATTTACTGGGATATTACTACTGAAGGAGCGTGACATTTCACACTCTTTGCCATGCTAATCCTTACTGCCTCAGAAGACTAAATCCATATGCAAGGCAGAGAGCAAAGGCCCTGACACATAACCTCCTCCAAGATTTTGTTTGTCAAATGTCCCACTGCTCTGGGTGTGAAAGAATGGTCTGTGTTCTCTTTACTTTCCATTCTGAGCTCCTAGCTGGCAAGCTCCAGACAGACCAGATAACAGATGGAGGAGCTGCCTGCCCAGCATCTCTAAGTGGCACACATAGCAGCCTAACTTCCAACAGCCAAATTATCTACCGGGAAAAAATAGGAACCAGAAAACACAGGGCTCTTAGGCAACAGGACATGACATTTATTGATCTATCTTTGCCTCAGCTACACAAATTCCAATTTCAGTGATTACATTACTCCTCTAAAACGCATTAAGCAATTTGTAAGATCAAAGGGAAGGGCACCTAAAGCAATCCGGAGAATCAAACTCTAATTTCTCAACAACTGTGTGTATGTAGGGGAAATACATGAGTACAGATTTTGCAGATAGCAGCTGGAGCCTCATGCTGATACACTAAACCTATTCAACAGTCCAGCCCCTCATTTACCAGTGCTCCTTCCCAGGGCCCTCCCACCACCCTTTGTAACCCAGTAGCAGGTAGGACAGCCCCCAGCAAGTCAGGTTTTGATTTCCTCAGGACTTTTCCAGGACAGAATTCAGTATGTTTACATGCCACAGTAAATCACAGATCAGGAATTACAAATTTACAAAATTATACTTCAGCTCAGGGAAACTGTAAACTCTGCTGATGCTACCACAGGACTTGGCCTACTACCTATGAAACTGCCAAACTTCATAAACTTTGCATGCACAAAAATAAATAGATACAACAAACAAACAAGCAAAAGCACTGGCAAAGCAATTGGCACAACAGAAACTTTGACCTAACAGAGTCATAACAATATAGACTGGTACAGCTTAATAAAAAAGCAAAATCATAAGTTAACAGGTAGTTCCAGTGCTGCCAGCAGTTTTAAATGCATGTGTCTTCTGACACAATACCACAAGGCAATAACTCTTAGGTTTCTATTTTTTCAGCACAGAAAGAAAATGCAGAAGTTTTAGCTCTTTTTGCAGAAAGTACTGGCAAGCAAGTGCCAAAACATGGGCACTTAACAACAGTGGCTATTCATTTCAGGTACACAACTGCTATTCACTGAGAGAAGTTCAAAAAGCCGCTGTCAAATTATAAACTGATGGAAGGTATTTCAGAAACAGAGCATTTTCCAAAGCCCAAGGACAAAGAAGTAGATATACAGAGATATATCATTTTTTCCACACCTCATTTAAGTGAAAGAAGAAAGTCCATATTTGCTTTTAGTTTCCCAGGACCTAAGTGTCAACTCAATCAAATCTTACCAGAGCAAATCTTATTCTCGCTAACTTCCCAGGAAGTTCTGTTACCAGTTTCTGAGGCATAGGAATGGGTCCTAACTTAGTCAGAACTCATCAAAGATAAAGATTCAAAAAGCAAATATTCTGAATTAGTTAGAAGTTTTCTATGTTACCAACTAAAAGGGATGCAGGGAAGGGGTATGAGAAATGCATTCCTTATCATGAACAAATGTTGATTGGAAGAACACAGCAACCTACCAGAAAAGAGGGACATTTTACTTGTGCATTTCACTGTGCCTCCTTGGAAAGCACTGGGATAATTACCCTAATCTAGAGTCAATATAAAAATTAGCCTCTAAATCTTTCCCCAGCTACCAGTTTTCTGTCCTTTTTTTTCTTTTTTCCGCATAAGGAAAGTAAGGTTGACCATTATCTATTAACAGCCACCATTTAAAAAATAGTCTTTTCTAGATACTTATCTTCTGGTCAAGTGTAGCAAAAAATCAAGTCTAAATATGAAAATGGACAGAGAGCAATCAGAAAAGCAACCAGAAAAGATTAAGAACAACAATGCCCAGGGAAGCCAGGCATTCTCCAGTAAAGAGAAAACTGCTGCATACAAGACATAGAGTTGAGAAAAGATAGCCTAAATCAAATGATGTTCTCAAACAACACATTACACCTCCCACTGTCGTCATTACCATTTAACAGGATGTAGAAACAAAGTGACAGATGGAACTACACTGTCCATCATACACTGGTGACACCTTCGAGCCTGACTCAACATATATCTCAGAAAAAGTGCTTGTCCTGGGTTAATCTAACTACACAGCACAAAACATCCAGCTTTTGAGGGAGCCTGACCTCAGAGCTTGTTCTCAAGGCTGCAGCCTCTCTGGGTTACACTGTCAGTCATTGCTCATGTTGGGCAGTCAATAACAATACAAGAACATCTGTAAGTCTTACTGTTCCAGAGGAATGACAGGAAATGGCTTGGTTAGAGGACGACTGGAGTGATCACCCTGCCACTAGTGAAAATATCATAATATCCTCTCAGCTACTAGCATACAAAGACAGCTCCTTTGCAAGTGTCCTAGTTACAGGGGCTGGGACCAGTTTATCACTATGTGGGTATAACCAAAACCTTATTCTACACCCTCTATGTCATTTCTGATGGACTGTTAATAAATAGATTGTTTGCAGCAGCTGCCCAGGGCACACCTGACACCTCAGGCTGGGTGTTAAAAAAACACTGTGAGGCAGGGGAGTGTTCCTTTTTCTTCACACCAATGACTCAGCTGTGATAATTCCCCTCCAGGGAGGCATTAACACCTTCACACCCAGCCTGAGGGGTCATCTCTGCTAACGGGCCATAATGGACTGTCATAACAGGCACCTGCAACAACTTAGACCATCAAAGATTCCAAAAATATCCCATGACTCCCAGAGTTAAATCATCCATTGTGAAACTCCCCACTATAGGGGAGGTACTGGGCATTCCCACCTGAACCTGAGCATATACAAACTTTGGGTTTTGGGACTTCTGGTACCACTTGACGGATCCAGAGTAGGACCAGAACTTCAACAGGACTGCACCAGGACTGCACCTGCCACTTCGACAAGACTGCAATCATTACTTGGACAGAACTGTCACCATCATCCAGACCCTCAGGTTTCCTTTCCTTTTACTTTGCCCCCGGGGGGGCCACATGGTGCTCAGCACCAGGGCTAACAAACACTGTTCCGTTCCTGTCCCAGGGTGCTGAGTTATACATCTGTCTTTGGGGGTTAAAACCAATTTTTTCTCTGTATCACTGTATTTATTGTAATCTTTTTAGTAAATTGTAACTCTGACTTGTAATCTCTCTTGAGTTGGGTTCACTTTTAAACCAGCACAGCAAGACAGACAGAAAATCACAGAGTAAAGAAATCAACAATCGGGAAAGAACACATACAAGAAAGGTACAGTGGTCACATCAAGGACCTCACCAACCTTCTGTCCTTACCTTTAATAAGCTCTGGCTTGTAGGCTTTTCTTAGCTGCTCTAGGAAGTTGTTATAAAAACACTCTGCCTGCTCTGTGGGCATTGCCATGTGGTAGTCAGGCTTGTTTCCTTTCAGGATGCACTGGAGGGTAAACTGGCTCACACACAACACTTCATACTGTTTATCCATCACACTTTTGGACCAGTGCTTCCCGCTCTCATCTTCAAATACTCGCAAGTTCAAGATCTTTCGAACCCTAGTAGAAAAAGATAATTCTTAAATTGTCCCATGCAGAATCAACAGGTACCATACAGAATAAGATAACAGGAAAGGCAGAGGCATATTCATTCTTTCTCCCCATAACAAGATATCCCTTTGCACCTTCACTCCTAAGCCATGGGAATCTCATCACATTATTACAGGCATAACCAAGAAAGCCCTTATACACCTACACAATGTTGTCAGATCATTAATCCACACCATCATTTTATGGAGAATGGGATCAGAACAGAATAACTGCATGTTATAGAGGGACATAAAGATGGCATAGTAAGTTAAGAAAGCTCACTCTTTAATATCTCATTTTATGTGTCACAATATTCCTTAACATGTGAACAGCTTTGGGAATTTTAATCCTCCCACCACACTGGAAAATCACACTTAGTATGAAATGAGATCAGCCTACACTATAGTTGTTGCCAGTCATGATTCACACATACGCCTCCTACTTTGTCACTTCCTAGCACTATTCCCAAACCAGGCCCCACAAGCCAGACGAGGGCAACACTTTTTCATCAGGAGAAGAGGAAGGCAAGGAACAGGGCAGAACTGCAGGTGGCAGTAAAGCGGTGATTTGGACTTGTTTGAATTTTGGACCCATTTTTGGCTCTAATACTCAAGAGAATAAGAGGAGCTTCACAAATGGATCCTGAAAAGCCGCAGGAGGACTTGCCACCCAGTCCGTGTCAGGACTCTGATTGGTAACAGGACTGCAAGCCACTCTCCTGTCTTTGGTTTCTTCTTCTAGCTTCTCCACATCTGCAGCATGAAGAGAGCATATCAAGTGCAAAGCATTTCAACTGCAGTCATCAGCCAGGCATTTTACACGGCACCAGAGGTGAGGCTGTTAGTATAAGATAAAGCTGAGACTTTGTTATGGTCTAGCTCCAGGGCTTTGCCATCACTAAGGCACAGTCCCAAGAACCATCCTTGCCAATCTGTGTGTGTCAACAGCAAACAGAATCAACTTCTGAATGAAATGGATGGTTAAAAGCATCCACTGGAAGACCCCAGCAGAAGGCTTTAATCATCATCACTGCTCTGTTTTAATCTTAGAGATGTTTGTTGTCTCACTTACAGGATTACTGAAGTTTCCTTTAATAGGACCTGAAAAACCTGGTTAAGTTGATTTCTTTCATTCCTTTTTTTCAGATGCTGGCTTCCTGCCCTTCCTGAATCAGTCATCCCAACAACCTGGTGTTGAGAGCACAGTCACTATGGATCACCTGCATGCAATATTCAGAAGCATCCTCTACATTCACCAAGGTAAGGATAAGAAACAATGACAGAGCAAATGTTACACACTGAGCGAGGCAAACAGTAAGGTAAACCAGTGAAGCACGTCAGAATAAAACCCCCTTCAGGTCTGCTGCAATTCTCTACAAGTTTCAAACGTTTATGTGAGATCTTTGGTGACCTTCAGGTCATATTCTCAGTCTCCTACTTTCTCTGCCACATCTGCTAAGAGTTGTTTTCACCATCCCTCATGTTCTTCTCTCTTCACTGCTTGAGCCTTTCCTCTCCTTGACATCAGTCAGCTCCACCACCTGTTTCTTCTTTGCCTTTGTAAGGACTGAGGTCAGTCTTAGAATAATGATCTGTCTGAAGGAGACAGAAGAAGCCCCTGAAGAACTCCTTGCATGTGTTTGCTGGCTGAATCACGCTATTCTGTGGCCATGGAACAGATGGCCAGAGCCAGTCCTCCAGGCTGCCAAAACTGATTCATGTTTCCACACAAGTAACTGACAAGAGTATCCTGCCTTTTGGAAGAAGAAAACTTCTCCTGTGCAAGCTAAAATGAGAGTTTGAGGTTTCTGATAAATCCCATCCTTGAAGGATGGATTTCTTCTGGGTAAACTCATGCAGTAAAAAGGACAGACATCTAAAAAAGGGAGATCTGAAAAACCCAACATGTTGATTCTTCCTTTTTGAGTCTGCTCTTGTTAAAAAACACAGAGACAGGGAACGGAAGCAGATTTTTCTCAATGGAACATAAACTAAGAAATCTGTATTAAAGGTAAAATCTCAAGAGGAACTAACAGGCAAACCTGAATCTCCCAATAGGAATAACCAATTTGTTTGGCTACGGCACAGGTATCAGTGATTCAGTATCAGCAATGAACAAGTAAAAGAGTACAAGGCAAAAGGAAATAAGCGACTTACATGTGCTCCAGCTCTCTTTGTGTATCTTCCAAAGAAATGCCCAGCAGCACACAGAGGCCTCGTCCTATTGAGCTGATTTGTTCACCACCCACTGGGGAAGGAGAGGGGGAAAAGTAAGGTTAAATGCACTGTCTTGTTTTATGGCACAGGTAAGTACTGGTTTCAGCTGGAAAACTGTTCATCCACCAGAGAAAACAGCACTTCCGAACCCTGCTTATCTGTGTTAAGTTTGCAGAGATTAAAGATCACATAGGAGCATTCTTTCAAAAGCTTCCCAGTGTCACAACTTCTTTGTGAGCTCAGGATGCTTATTCCAGCATTTAAAAACTGTTGAAAGATTTTTACTACTGCTGGATCAGCCCTGCTAACTGGAGAAGTGGCAGAACTCTCTCCAAGACTTGTAAAAATTATCCACCTGGTTGATGTCACTAAGTTTACTCAAGTTCTCTACTCCACCATTCCCTTCATACTTTGTATTTGTTGTGAAAAGGTGGCTTCTGCCTTCTACTCTCATGAATTTTTTGAAATATGACTTTTAACAACCTGCAAATTCTGCCCTTCTAATTGGGAACACAACCCCTTTAGTGACATTTACAATAAAACACGAACCATCACAGATCTATAGCATTTTCCTAAGAAATGTTTTAAATTATCTTAAACTGATTATCTTAATTTAAATTATGGACCATGGTTGATCCTGAGATCACTGTAGTTAAGATTAGATGCAGCCTTAAAACTGAGATAAGCACCAGTTACCCTGTTACCAGCTGTTAAAACTGCATCCAGGCTCATGAGTGGGGAAAAAAGCTCCAAACATCCTGTAAAATGAGAGGAGATCAGGTCTCCAGCAAAAGCTGAAAGCTTGTGTCTCTGCACCAGTGGCCATATCAGGATTATTCCCAATGGGCAGAAGCAAACCAGGGGGAAAAACTCCTCACAAAGACTCTTTCCATCTGATCTGGGTATGAGTCCTCCGGCTTAGAAATCTAATCTGCTAAGTACAGCACTCTCTCTCTCAGAGTGACATCTCAAACTCTTCAACAGCCAGAAGCAACAGTTTAAATTATTCCCCAGAGAGGTGGCAGTAAGTCAGCAAGAACTCCAGTGCTGATGGGGACTGACAACTGTTGTGGCCGCGGCACCAGCTGTGCCCAAAAGCTGTGCCCCTTACACAGACATGCTCTGTCGGTGCTGACACACAAGCAGAAGCTGGTTTTTAGCGTGAAGGCCATCCTGCTGCACATTTCTCAGCCCCTGGGCTGCATAGCAGAACTCACTGCCTCACGTGCAAACTTCTTGGGGATTTTAAGCATCTCAAGCACAGAAGGTCCAACCAGTGCAATAGCAGGGACATTCCATCAGGACACACCATTCAGATCGGCACCAGGGCTACTGACTCAGGCAAGCAGTGCCCGGTGGCAGCAGGGACAGCACCACTGACACGCAAGCAGTGCAAAAAGGCTGCACTGCCAACATGCTTGCAATGCTCTGAGGTGACTGTGATTGTGCTGCCAATGCACACGAGCCACAGGAGAGGGAAACTGGGACGGCACTGCCACCACATACACGCTGCATGGAGGCACCCTTGATTACAGTGCTGACACATTCACTGGGGGAAGGTGATCACAGACTCACTGCTGACATGCACACGCAGGACAGAGGCAACTGTGGCCGTGGTGCCAGCACGTGTCCGTGATGCACGGAGGCAGCTGGGATGGCTACTCTGACACACACAGGCAACGTGGAACAGTCACTGGTTCAGTCCTGCCACGCAAGCAAGCG